TAGGTGATGGCTCCCTCATATTCGGCGATGAGATTCGAGATGCTGCACGCCGACTTGCGGATGCAATTGAAGCCTCTACGCAGGGGACTTTCCAGCCCGACAGAGAGAAGGACGAGCGCACCCTCGCACTACAGAATCCTGAGCATCCAGGACGAACGCGAGGAAAAGGCGTCCTTCCTTGGAAACATGGATTCAAAGAGGACATCCACATGTATGGGAGTCGGATGAGGAGCAAGAGGGATACAGAGGCTAAGATCGTCGATCTTGAGTACAGGGTGTCCACCTACGAGGCAAGGATGCAAGAGGAGGTGACAAGACAGGTGGACCAACGCCTGGCTGAGCAGCGCGGAATGGAAACACAAGCGCTCGTCATGGTGAGCCCCTCGGGCAACCGCAGCAGCTGCGCATCAACGGGCCAAGTTGGATCAGAGGGCATTGAGGCAGTGGCAGCTCACGAAGCAACCCACTTCCCCGTTGATGATATCACGCAGCGAACACCCTGCGATATGCATACTCCCTTTAGGAACTTGTCTATCAAGGTATGCGAAATGCGAAATTTGTTACATATATATGTTGATTAGTAATTAATGAACTATATTTCTTGTGAAGGTCGCGTCGGGCATGGCCATACCCACGGATCCTTCGAGTACATACCATTGCAGGCCCATTACACATGGATATGCGAAGGTCGAGATAGAGCTGGTGGAACGAACCTATGAGGATCTCGAGCTTGACATCCCCGGAGGAGACGGGGAGAAGAAACTTGGAGATACAGCCCACGCCATCATACTCTAGCTTAAGAAGTACATCGTGTTTCCCGGGCAAGAACGGCCGCTCGCTCCTCCTTCACCGCCGCAAGCACAGTCTCCTCCGCCATCACCGCCTCGTCAGTCTCCTCCGGCTCCTTCCCCTGCACCACCACCTCCTCCGCGTGCACCAGCTGCCAAGTCTGCACCGTCGGGCCCGCGGGCAACTACTCCTCCACGTGCACCTGCTGCCAAGTCTACACCGTCAAGGTCCCGCCCATATGAACCCACACCATCAAGGCCGAAGAAGAAAGCCAGATCTGACGAGCCACGGCTCCCCGCTCTCAAGAAAAGGGCGTACGACTTGACTCCGGGGGAGCTTGATGAAGCCGTAAGAGCGGAAGTTAGGGAGCAGTTGAAGCCACGTAGTCCAGAAAAGAAGATCCCTATAGCCCCAGAGGTTCAGGATCACTTTATTAAGATGGCCGAACCGGGCAAACCGGTCGAAGTTTTTGACTATGATCGAACATTGAGGAAGGCTCTTAAAGCCAAGCCTTCAGCAGTGAAGTGCGGAAAGGAAGTCCCTCAGCTGGGGCAACAGCCAAGACAAGAGGTTGAACCGTTAGTCATAGAACCGGCACAACTAGAGATATGCAACTTCTTGAAAGATACGGGACTGAGTATGGAGCAGTTGCTAGAGGACGCACCTATCGAAACGGCTCCGGTCATGTACACGTTTAAACTCGGTGAACCGCTAGTCACGCCTGATAAGATCAGAGAGCTACCTACACAGATGTACCGATTCCATCAATTGTACATGGACAAATCAGTGATGGGTAGAGAGATGTTCGGAGCTAGGGTGCGAAACTCAGATTATTACCAACGAGAAGATGTTATTTGAATCCGCTACAAAGAAGTTTTCGACTTATACCACCTGAAGGCCCTCGACGTCTCTATTCTTTGTGCTTGGACTTTGTAAGTACTGTTTATAGTTCAATTTTGTTCCTCGTTTGAACGTTGCTCACACACATTCCTTTTCCCCGTTGTAGAATGGAGATTCAGTTGTGCCGTCAACATAACAAATTCAATACTGGATTCATGGACCCACACAAAGTGAACACGCTGATGATACAACAATACGAGAAACAAACCGAGGACAATATCGTCCATTTCCTGGTGCAGCAGCATTATAAGAGGTTCATACTACTTCCCTACAACACATCGTGAGTTCCTACAATCATAATTAACTTCAATTTTGTTCCTTCAATTTTGTTCCTACAAAGTTCCTACAATTATACTATATATCATGTAATGCAAATTGCAGATTCCATTGGGTCCTTCTTCTTTTCGACCTTGAGAAATCCAAAGTTCATGTCTATGATTCAATGGATAAACCGGAGAAAACTTTCGCAAAGATTTTCGAAGTGATAGATAGGTATTGTCATATATTGCACTGTCATTATGAATCATTGTATAACTACTAGATCTCGGATAATAAATTAATCCTTCCTAACAACTCTAAATAGAGCATGGATTCGGTTCCGTACATTGGTCCGCGGGATCTGGAATGAAAAACTCACCCGGAGGTTCAATTTTCCGGTTAGTACATGCTAGCTTCAATTTTGTATTGAATCACTTCTTTGTTCTAAATCAGATATGCATACTAAATCTCTCGTTGTTTCTCTTTCAGTGTGCAAAGCAGGAAAATGGGACTAACTTGTGCGGCTACTACGTATGCCATTACATGCACTGCTTAGCACACCAAATCAGGACTGGCCAGGACCTTGAAGTACGTAAATTTATTCTTCCGTCAATTATTGCTTACTGGTTTTATATATATAATCCCGTTTTTTTCCAAATAACAGATGATTTACCTGATAGATAACACCACCCACGATGATTTCATAAGGACTGTTCAAGAATAGATAATGGGATTCATCAACAAGCATATTCTCCATCCCACAGGAGAATTCTATTACGATGGATCGACTATTCATAAAGCCGGTCCTTCTTCTTCCGATGTCACCAAGTCGTAGTAGCAGAAACAAAGATTACAACGTCCGAACGAATTGTAATATATATCTATATATTCATATATGCACACATGCATTTACTTTTGTGTACTTGGTTTGGTAATATATGTGTATATTTACTTACTTGCAAACTCATATTTTGTTAATATATATATGCATATGGCCTCTAATTACTTAAGTGCACACATATTTGTATATACATACATACATATATATATATATATATATATATATATATATATATATATATATATATATATATATATATACATATATATATATATATATATATGTATGTATGTATGTATGTATGTATGTATGTATGTATAATGTATATATTACACACATGCATATATGTGTGCACTATATACATTTCTATATTATACATATACATATATATATATATATATATATATATATATATATATATATATATATGTACACCAGGCAGCACAACCAAATTAAAAAAAAATAAAAGAAAATTCTTTAGTCCCGGTTGGTGTCACCAACCGGGACTAAAGATGGAGATTTACTCCCGGGTATTTGAACCGGGACTAAAGACCGCCATCTTTAGTCCCGGATTCTCCCTCCCGGTTCGCTACCCGGGAGTAAAGGGGGTTGCGAACGGGAGAGATGAGCACTTCTCCAGTAGTAAAACTTTAAAATAATACATGGTTTGAAATATATAAGTCATAAAAAATTTAAAATAGACTAGTACTACATAGTAAAATTTCAAAGTATAATATACACCGTATTTATTGGTTTTCATTGGACGACTTTAACAGCCGTCACACTGTAATATAAAATTCAGAGCGCTCATTGCTTAATTTAGATTTCCCAGATACAACCTGTATCATGGTTTATCTACGGCGACCAGCAGCACACGGATAATACCCAGAAATGGTCCTACCGCCAGCACCGAGTCAAAACAAAACTACAAAAGTGCATACGCACGTAGTAAAAGCAGAAACAGCCCACACCTGCCCTTGCGACAGTGACGCCACTCTCAAATCTCAATCCCAAGACCCAAATAATCCTATGACAAAAAGCAAAAAGAACAGAAAGAAACACCAAAGTAATCCCCTCATAGATAACTCCTCCCTCCCAAAATAAATGTTATTTTGTACTGTTTATATGTAATGTTTGACTGTTCATTTTATTTAAAAAAATTACGATTAATACTTTTATTGTTACAAGATGGTAAAACATGAATGGTACTATATGTGTGACTAACTTTTTAAATTTTCTCATAAATTTTTCAAATAAGACGGATGGTCAAATATTGGACACGGATTCCCACGGCTGCACTTATTTTGGGATATAGGCCCGTCCCAAAATAAGTGTAGCTGTGGATATCCGTGTCCAACGTTTAACAGTTCGTCTTATTTGAAAAAAATTGAAAAAATTAGTCGCACATAAAATACTATTCATGTATTATCATCTAATAACAATAAAAATACTAACCACAGAAAATTTTCAAATAAGACGAACGGTCAAACGTTAGAGATGAACAGTATAAACTACAATTATTTTAGGACAGAGGGAGTAATAATGATGAAAATAAATATCAAAATGAACAGAGAATTTTACTCCCTCTGTCAAAAAAAATTTTACAAACCCTGAGTTTCCATATCCAATGTTTGACCGTCCATCTTATTTAGAAAAGTTATGAAAAAAAATAAAAAGACAAGTCATGCATAAAGTATTAATCATGTTTTATCATCTAACAACAATGAAAATACTAATTATAAAAAATTTCATATAAGACGGACAGTCAAACGTTGTACACAGAAATTCAGTGTTTGTTTTTTTTTTGACGGAGGGAGTAGCAGAGACTAGAGAGTAGCAGTTGCATATGTAAGGTGGTATTTGGATCCAGTGACTTAATTTTAGTCCCTATATTTAGACACTAATTTAGAGTATTAAATATAGACTACTTACAAAACTAATTACATAAATGAAAGCTAATTCGTGAGACAAATTTTTTAAGCCTAATTAATCCATAATTAGAGAATGTTTACTGTAGCATCACATAGGCTAATCATGGATTAATTAGGCTCAATAGATTCGTCTCGGGAATTAGTCCAAGATTATGGATAGGTTTTATTAATAGTCTACGTTTAATATTTATTATTAGTGTCCAAACATCCGATGTGATAGGGACTAACAAGTTTTAGTCACATCTAAATAGGGCCTAAGGCTGCTTACATTACTGTATATATCACCTTCTCCGCTCATTTCTCAACGCCCACTACCTCTTGTTTAGTTTGTCGTCGCACGTATTCTCACCGACACCACTTGCTGTACGCGGTGTATCTGGACCAGCACAACCTTGTCGTCCTCGATCGCATCGCTCGCATCAGCTGCCGCTAGCTGTCCATTGATCCCTCCGCGCCGGATGGCCGCGCGCGTGGCGGACGCCGCCTCTCTCCTCGGCCTCCTCCTCCTCGTCTCGTGCTGCTCGCTGGCGCAGTCCGTCACGACGAATGGCGGCGGCTACGTGTCGGCGGTCGGGGACCCCGGCATGCGGCGCGACGGCCTCCGCGTCGCCTGGGAGGCATGGAACTTCTGTAACGAGGTCGGCCGGGAGGCCCCCGGCATGGGCAGCCCCCGCGGCGCCGACTGCTTCGACCTCGGTTGGTCCCTCCATCCTTGCTCTTCTTTCCTCTAATCCATGTCGCGCTCGCGAGATTGGTCAAGTTAGTTCGATCTTGGTTGGTCCATTCTTGTTAAATCCAAACCGATGTCGCTGTCGCTAGATTTGATGAGTTCATTTTGTCGAATTGACGGTGAGAAACGTGAAATCTTTGCAGAGGATGGCGTGGACGAGCACGGCCAGCCGACGCGCAAGGTGGTGCACAGGGTGACGGACGCCGACAACAGCCTCCGTGCCGGCGACCCGTTCCCCGGCACGCCGGCGAACATCACGGACGTCGACCGGTACGCGGCGGCGAAGGAGCTGTACCTGGGCGACCGGTGCCAGGTGGCGGACGGCCCGTCGCCGTGGCAATTCTGGATGGTCATGCTCAAGAACGGCAACCTGGACACCTCCGCCGCCATCTGCCCGGACAACGGCCGCCCGGCGCGCCCGTTCCCGCAGGGCAAGTTCCCGTGCCCCGGCGGCGCCGGCTGCATGAACCCGCCGCTCGTGTTCCACAACCGCACCGCGCTGGACGCCACCGGGCGGCGCCTCCGCGGCGGGCTGTTCGGCACGTACGACCTCGGCGCGGCGGACCTCGGCAACAAAGACGTGTCCTACTACTCGGTGACGTGGGAGAAGGAGGTTGGCGGCGCCGGCGGGTGGGTGTTCCACCACAAGCTGCGCACTTCACCGAAGTACCCATGGCTGATGCTGTACCTCCGTTCCGACGCCACCTCTGGATTCTCCGGTGGCTACCACTACGAGACCAGAGGGATGACCAAGATAGTAAGTCTATTCTGTTAATCTAAAATAAAGTCCCTTTCCCATTCACTATCACTGACCTTACATCCAAGATTAAGTTTTATTTACCTTGCGGTTTCCATTTTCAACAAAATTACAGATGACTAATTATATATTTCTTGACTATTACTGACTACATAACTGCTCTTAAAGGATTTGGTCGTAGTTGGTACGATACGCCGCCTTCTGTATTAGGTTGACAATTTTGTAGCATGTCATATTCGATCATTTTGCATGTTTATCTGACTGAAAGTTGTATTTAATAGACCGTGTTCAATTTTCAAACTAGTGTATCATTTTTATTTCGTGACCGGAGGAAGCAGAATCTGACCGAAAGTTCGTGATGTCAGGTGCCCGAATCACCAAACTTCAAGGTGAGGGTGAACCTGGAGGTGAAGCAAGGCGGAGGCCCCAGCAGCCAGTTCTACCTCATGGACATGGGCAGCTGCTGGAAGAACGACGGCCGCCCGTGCGACGGCGACACCGCCACGGACGTGACGCGGTACAGCGAGATGATCATCAACCCGGAGACGCCGTCGTGGTGCACGCCGGGGAAGGTCGGGCTGTGCCCGCCGTGGCACACGTTCCGGAACGGCACGCGCGTGCACCGCACCGACGCCGCCCGGTTCCCGTACGCCGCCTACCACATGTACTGCTCCCCCGGGAACGCGCGCGCCGCCGAGCAGCCCACCACCCCGTGCGACCCCTACAGCAACCCGCAGCCGCAGGAGATCATGCAGCTCGTGCCGCACCCGGTGTGGGGCGAGTTTGGGTACCCCACGGCGAAAGGGCAGGGCTGGATCGGTGACCCCAGGGCGTGGGAGCTCGACGTCGGCGCCATGTCACAGGCGCTCTACTTCTACCAGGTATTGCACGATCGATTAATCTTTCCTTGTGCAGAGACCATAAGTAGTTACTCTCGTTGTTGAAAAGAAACAGAAGGATTTTTGGGTGGATCGGTGGTGAGGTGAACATGATGGATATGTTGTTGCAATGGCTGCAGGATCCGGGCACGCCACCGGCGAAGAGGAGGTGGTCGTCGCTGGACGTGGGAACGGAGATATACGTCAGCAACCATGCGGAGGCGGAGTGGACGTTGAGTGGGTTCGACATCCTTGTGCCAAAGGAGTAGGATTGTGTTGGGTCGTCCAAAGGAGGACTCGTCGACATTGTTTGGAGCGTGGATGAAGGGGGTTATAAGCAATTCTTACATGATGGAATGCATATGCATATGTAGTATAGTAGAAAACTAGAGGACGCGGTAGAATACCAGTGTGGAAATGTTAAGCGTCCGACAGATTGATCCATATACTCCTTTGCGCAACCGTGCCCAACCTACATGAGGCGGTCCGAGTGTCCGACCGATCATGCCGCTCCCACGTGCCCCACTTGTTGTGCCGTGTCAACACACCAGGTGCGCCCCACGCGGCCACGCCCCCACCCCACCACCAATCCCTTTCCCCGTGCGTCATCGGACCCATTTTCCTCGACTAGCGGCTAGGCCGTGGAGGACGGAATTACCGAATTAGGATACTGTCAAGCGGTCGGCTTGGTGGCACATGGGCCAGTTGAGCCACTCTAGCTCCAAGCCTAGCCCGAGCAAGCCCAGAATGGCAAGGAAGCTTTTTCAACAACACATATGCAGCTGCAGAGGATGATATACCATCCAGATATATATACTGCGTCCATCCCAAAATATAATAACTTAGAATCAAAATAAATATATTCTAATATTACAAATCTGGACAGGGATCTGATTATAGTATGATCAATTGATCCATACTAATTTCGTCACGTGTGCCCCTCCTATGGTTGACAGTCCGACCAAACAATACAGTGGCCTAATCTCCTTATCAAGCAGAACTTATGTGTTACATACTTCTTTTCTCAACAATTATCAACAATCTTCAATACAACTCACAGGTAAAAACAATTAGCTGCTTCAGGTGAAATTGAAAGTGAAAAGAGAAAGAGGTTACAAACTCTAAAGGTTCTAGATGCTAACGTAGGGAGTTGGACGAAGGGGAGGTGCGAAAGAAATTGACAAGGAGCCAACCGACCTCTAGGTCATGGCCGCCTCCACCGTTCAGCAAATGTTATGTTTGATGCCCCAAGGAAGAGCTGCTTGATTGCTTTATGGAATAAGTTCATCGGAGGCCCCTCAACTTAACAGCGAGATTTTTTAAGGTCCCTCAACTACAAAACCAGAAATGTTCATCTCTAAACTCATTTAAACCGTGTAAAGGAGGTCCCATGGTAGTATTTGCGTCCGGTTTTGCTACCGTGTCATCCTAGTCAGCAAAAAATAAAAAAATAAATATGTAGGGCCCACATGTAAGTGAGAGAATGGTGTAGGCCCCGCATCTATCCTTTCTTTTCTTTTTCTCTTCTCTCCTCTCCTTCTCTCGAGCAGGCGCGGCGGCAGACTAGGCGTGAGTGGCCGGCGGCGGAGCAAGAGCGGTGGCGGCGGGAGAGGGGGAGAGAGACGGCCAGCGCGATGGCGAGCTCGGCGGCGGAGAGTAGCGGCCAGCTGCTACCGCCGGTGCCCCCTCTCCTGCCGCTCCTCTCCCCCGCCGTCGCGCCGTGCCGCCTTTGGCATGAACTGCCCGATCGACAGCAGCGCGAATCCGACGAAGTAGTTGCACACCACGTACGTGTGCGAGATGCCCTTCGCCTTCACGGTGCGCCAGATGCCCACCTTGCTGCCGTAGATGGACGGGACCTGACCGGCTCCACCGCGGCGCTGGCGCCGCGCCCCGGGTCCAGGCCGAACTCGGAGGGGATGAACCTCCGGACGCGGCCGCCGCCGATCTCCTTGATGGCGGTGATGAGACTGGTCTGGTCAGGGACCTGGGGCGACTGCACTGCGGTGCGGAGATGACGACGTCGGTGTCGCGGACTGCACGCAGCAGGCTAGCGTGGTCGTAGAGGTCGCCATGGAGGAGGGTGACGCCGGCGTTGCGGAAGCTTTGGAGCAGCTGCGCCTTGACGAGGGCGGTGGTGAGATGACCCAGCCGCGCGCGGGCGGCGACGACATGCCGGCCGATGTACCCCGTGCCCCCGACCACCAGGATCCTGCTCTTCGTCGTCTGGTCGCCACCGGATGCCATTGATAAATTTGCCTTTGCGTATTGTATGATTGAAATTGTATCAGGAAACAAGTAAAAAAGAGGTAAAGCAAAGAAAGAACCGGTGGTTTGTGTTAGATGTATCCTATCCGTATTCCTCTCGGTTCTGTTTCCAAAAGCCGGTTGAGTGGATAAGGAAGGACTCGTGCCTATATGTACTCTGCATCGGTATCAATCCAATCTATTGCGTTGAGTTTATCGCGCTCTCATGGTATCAGATTCCATCGTTTTTCCTGCTTCCGCTTTTGCGCTAATTTCCTGCCGCCGCTGTTACCATGTCGACGACGGGCTCCTCTCTCTCCCCAGATGCCCTCGCTGACACGGTCGCCGCATCCGTCGCGGACGCCGTCCGCGCCGCCCTACAGCTCCCTGCTGGCTCCACAACTGACGACGCCACGTCCAAGACCGACGTCGACGCTGCCGCAGATCAAGCTTCTGCCATCGTTCGTGCGGCTCTTGCCAAGCATCTGCCGGCGCTCCAACAGTCCACCCAGTTGCCGCCGATTTCCCCGGAGCTGACGGCGCTGCTCGCCCGCCTCATGCTGGGCTCCGGCGGCCACACCGGTCCTGAACCTGCTGGCTCGACGCCTCCGCCGAACGCCCCCGTCCTTGACGACGCTACACGTGCTTCCCTCCACGCTCAAGCCGTCGCTGTGCTCAACGTCAAGGCCTTGGTACCAGTGACTCTCGACCTCGCCGCCGGCAACTACGCCCGCTGGCGCGGTCTTTTCCTTGTGGTTCTCGGCAAATATGCTTTGACGGACCACGTGCTTTGCGACGCTCCTCGCCCCGATCTCGCTGAGTGGGTGCAGATGGACTGCGTCGTGCTCGGTTGGTTGTACGGTGCCATCTCACCAGACCTTCTCCAAGAAGTTCTGTCGCCGACCGCCACCGCTCGCAGTGTTTGGCGCGACCTGGAGTTCCAATTCCTTGGAAATTGTGAGCTCCGTGCTGTCAATCTCTCCGCCGAATTCCACGGCTTCCAACAAGGCGACCTCTCTGTCTCCGAGTATTGCCGGCGCCTCAAGACGATGGTGGATAACCTCGCCGACCTCGGCGAACCATAATCTGACCGCACCCTCGTCCTCACGCTTATCAACGGTCTCAGCCCTAAATTTGGCCACATGCAGTCTCTCCTTCCTATGCAGCAGCCCTTTCCTAGTTTTATTCAAGCCAGGTCTCAGCTGCTACTCGAGGAGATTACCAAGGGACCACGTCCGGCGAACGACTCGGCCACCACTTTTGTTGCTACCACGGCCGGCGCCGGCGGCACCCCCAGCGATCGTGGTGGCACCGGCAACACAGGCGGCTCCCAAGGTGGTTCTGGCAGCGCCAGCGGCAACTCTCGCAACCGCCGACGTGGCGGACGCGGCAATGGTGGCGGCGGCGGCAACACCAGCAATAGCGTCGCTGCCAATCCTTCCGGTGGCTCGGGCGGTGCTTCTGATGGCCAATCAGCTGGCTCCCAGTCGGCCCAGCCCACTACTCGGCCGCCCTGGCCATCTCCCTACAACCCGTGGGCTGGCACTATTCAGATGTGGCCTGGCCAGGCCCACGGGCCAAACTTCATGGGAAGGCCTCCTTTCGCGGGCGCTGCAGTGGCCGGACAGCCCACCTACATGGTGCATCCTGCTTACTATCCAGCTCACAACCAGGCCAGATTTCCTCAGCACATGGGCTCGGCCGGTTTCCCTCAGTAGACCGGTCTCGCTCCCCTACAGCTACCGGTGCCAACTGCTTACAGCTCAGCCAGCTCTGTTCCTGCCACTCCGCATGCATGGGCCGCTCCCTCACAGTGGGACCCGTAGGCCCTTGCCAGCTCCTTCAACACCTCCACTTTGACGCCGCCAAACTCCAACGAGTGGTATATGGATTCAGGTGCATCTTCCCACATGACTTCTAACAATGGTACCCTTAGTGTGTCTCATCCTCCCCCCCCCCCCCCACAATTTTCCTTCACATATTGTTGTTGGCAATGGTTCACTAATTCCCATCACCTCCACCGGCACCGCACACTTACATTATCCGCACCATTCATTTGTGCTTAATGATGTCTTAGTGTCACCCTCTATTATTAAAGATCTAATCTCTGCCCGCCGGTTTGCTCGTGATAATTCGTGTTCTGTTTGCCTTGACCCTTTGGCCTTTCTGTGAAGGATTACCAAACCAGGATCGAGATCGCCAGGTGCAATAGTTCCGGTGATTTGTACCCCCTCTCGGCGGATTCCCTTCCATCGGCAACCTCCGTACAAGCTTTTGTCGCCTCTACAACCAACACCGACCTGTGGCATCGCCGCCTTGGACATCTTGGTCACGAGGCGCTCACCCGCTTAGCTCAGGCTTCCGTCATCCCTCCTCCAAAAGGCGTTACCTCGTTGTGTCATGCTTGCCAACTCGGCCGTCACACCCGTCTTCCTTTTACTAGCATTTCACTAGGGCTACTGCCAAATTTGAGCTTATTCATTGTGATTTGTGGACCTCACCTATACCAAGTGTGTCTGGTTTTAAATACTATTTGGTCATTCTAGATGATTTCTCTCATTACGTTTGGACCTTTCCGCTTCGTTTTAAATCCGACACATTTGCCACTTTATCTCAATTTTTTGCCTTTGTAAAGACTCAATTTGCAGCCACCATCCGGAGCATCCAATGTGACAACAGCCGTGAGTTTGACAACTCCAATGCACGCACCTTTTTCCTCACCAATGGCGTCTCCCTACAGATGTCGTGCCCCCACACCTCCCCACAAAATGGTAAGGCCGAGCGCATGCTACGTTCCCTAAATAACATAGTTCGCTCCTTGCTTTTTCAAGCCGGCCTACCTCCTTCCTTTTGGGTTGAGGCCCTCCACACTGCCACACATCTCATTAACCGTCATCTTACAAAAACTCTTCACCACCACACCCCGTTCTTTGCCCTTTATGGTGCTCACCCCTCCTATACACACCTTCGAGTCTTTGGTTGCAAATGTTACCCAAATCTCTCCGCCACCACCGCCCACAAACTTGCCCCTCGCTCTGTTATGTGTGTCTTTTTAGGATATCTTGAGAATCACAAAGGGTACCGGTGTTTTGATCCTATTTCCAATAGGGTCTATATTTCCCGTCATGTGGTGTTTGATGAGCACTCATTTCCTTTTGCTGAGATGACTAACAGTGCAGATGCTTCTAATCTGGATT